ACGCAAAATAAACTAGAGGGTAATTTTTGGGTAGTAATCGGTTTTTTTTTAGCAAAATATGTCAAACCAGCAGGAACCTAAACCGTTATTTATAACGGTTCTGTTTGGTTACGATTGTTTATGTAAAAAATTATAATGGTTACGTTTTGATTACGGTTCTTAAGAAAAAAAATATAAAGGTTCGATTCTGAGCAGCTAAATGGTTATAACGGTTCAGTTTGTTTCAATGAAATTTGGTTACGATTGTGTATGTAAAAAATTATAATGGTTACGTTTTGATTACGGTTCTTAAGAAAAAAATTATAAAGGTTCGATTCAGAGCAGCTAAATGGTTCATTACGGTTAGAAATTTTTTTATTGAAGCAACACCATCATATAATGATTTTAATTAAGAACATTTATTACAATTTTTGCCATCACTAATTTATTTTTATTATAAGCATCTATGAATTATATATAGAAAAAATATATAAGATACAAAATAACTCATTTTTAGATATATTATTTGAACGTATAAATACTATATTTTCTAATATAAATGGATTCATATTTGTTTATTGTGGCGATATTAGCCCCAAAAAGGCCCTTTCTACAGTAACTCGGGTTGCGGGAACTGCCTAAAATATACTCATGTCATGCCAAAATTCTATAAATATTATATAAAATTAAAACCTCATAAATTTGGTAATTTTGAAATTCATACAAGAACAATGACCCTTCCATCAAACTACTCATGGGTAGTAGTGATATTATACTTAATTTATTAAATAAATACAACTAAATCAAAAATCTAATAATTAGTTATTTAAGAAAATAGGAATGCTCTAGTACTATATGATGCAGTTAAAAGATTGCCATTAAATTTAAGCAATAGTGAAAAAATTAATACATATTTTATTAAGAATATCAGATCACACAAATTGATCATTTAATAATTATAAATAACGACGGAGATATGGTAAAATATGAAATGACACTACAAGGAAAATAATGTAAAAAAAATGAGAATTATTTATTTTATGCTTTAAACCGGTTTAATCTTTTTTTTATAAAGGTTCTTTTTACTCCTTCAAAAAATAATTATATCGGTTGGGTTAAGGTTAGATATTTATAAAGGTTTATATGGGTTCACTCCAGGCAAACCAGGAAGGTTTTTCAAAAGATGAACAAGGTAAGAAATTAGATATAAAATTACATCTTCACACAAAATTTAATATTTTTATGCTCATGGGTTCAAAAAGTTATTCAAGTTAACATTGTTATCATATCAATCACTTTACCCCGATTTCCCCGACTATGATATTGATGCTCTTTCTAGTTGAACGCCATGCAGATTACATCTAAATATTTTAGCTTATGATACTATTATCAACACAGAAGATTAAGTGTTTTCCAAAAATATAATGTTAACCCAAATTAAAAATATTGGGATTATGACAATTTTTATTTTTACAGGTTTTAATATCAATCAATGAAACCGACTATAAACATGTTCAAAATATTTATTCTATACTATTTTAACTAATATAATTTATTAATACATTTAAATTATGACAAAAAATGTTTAAGATAATTATTTTTACTTATTTTTAAATAAAAAATATGTGAAATTAAATAAGTATTATGACAATTGTCACCACTAATGTGGTATATTATGATTGAAATATGAAACATGCTCAAAATATTTATTTTGCTAAAATTATTTTAAAAGGTTATTACGTATGACAAATGTCACTTTTACTTTATATGTTTTACTATCACCAAAACCATCTTGAAACATGCTCAAAATATTTATTGTAGCCTATTTTAATTAAAATTATTCTTAAAAGTTCTGAGATGAGTATTATGACAATTATCGCCTTTATTTTATAAGATTTACAATCACTGATACCATCTCGAAACATGTTCAAAATATTTATTTTAGCCTATTTTAACTAAAATTATTTTTAATGGTTTTGAGATAAGCATTATGACAATTGTCACTTTTATAGTTTACATTAAATATTAATACATTAAAATTATGTCAGAAAATGTTTAAAATAATCATTTTTGCTTATTTTTAATTAAAAAATTTGTGGAATTAGTATTATGTCAATTGTCACCTTTATATGCTTTAAATTCATTAAAACCATCTCAAAACATTCAAATTCTAACCTATTTTATCTAAAATTACTTATAAAGATTCTGAGATTAGAATTGTCACTTTTATAGTTTAAATTAAATATGATACATTAAATTTATGACAAAACATTTTTAAAATAATAAATATTACTTATTCCATATTTTAAAAAAAATACAATGGGTATTATGACAATTCTCACATTTACCTTAAAATTGTTTAAAAAAAATATTTTATGGTCAAAAAATAAAATAAAAGATTTTACCTCAAAATTTTTCAAAAAATTTTTAGATCCAAAATGTTTTATATCATCCGAAAAGATTATCACATTATAAAATTCCAAAAATATTTTTTCAAAATCATAGAAGATTTTTTTATATAAACCATTTTCTATTTTACTTAAAAATTTTCTTTGAGCATGCTCAAAGTTTTTTTACAAAAATATCTTTATATTTTTTGAATTTTGAGCAAATGTTAAACCCTGATTAAAACCAAACAATAATTTTTAATAATTTAGTGTTGAACATTTTACTCAAAACTAAATTCTGTTCATTTATATATGTCAGAGACCTGCAGAGGTACCATTTGTACGGCCCGGCCCGGTTTTAAATTTTTTAGGCCCGGCCCGGATATTTAAAAAAAAAATTTTTACGGCCCGGCCCGGATTTAAAAATTTAAGGCCCGGCCCGGATATTTTTTAAAAAAATTTTTTATGGCCCGGCCCGGATTTAAAAAATTCAGGCTCGGCTCGGAATTTTTTAAAATTATATTCGACCTGGTATAAACAAAAATTCACCTATGAGGTATTTTACCATATTTTTCAGCGAGTATTATTGCTTATTATTTAAAAAACACATGTAAAAAGCTAATATTTTGAGAATATTATATTGAATTTATAAAAATTATAAAACTGTTATTTATAAAAATGGATATTTTGAGCATATACTATATTTTATATTGCATTTATAAAAATAAAACTAATATTCATAAAAATGGTAATAATATTTGTCATATACTATATTTTATATTACATTTAAAAAAAATAAAACTAATATTTAATTTATAAAAATGAAAAATATTTTGAGAATATAATATATTGTATTTAATTTACTATTTAATTTATAAAATAAAAATAAATCGCTATTTAAAAAAATGCATGTATAATAAATAGTATTTTGAAAATATAATCTAATTGCACAATATTAATATAATTTATTTTATAATATAAATTTTTAACAAAAGAAGATAATTGTATTATATAATATTGTAAAAAAAAATAATGAAAAATGTTGGATTATAAAAACTTTCATGACTCAAGGTAAATATAATAAATGCAATAAATATTTGAGTTTGAAAAGTAAAAAACCAGCATGATTGACGAAACCCTATACTCAAGAAAGATATTAAAAATTCACAAATTATCATGAAGAAAGAGTAGCATATCTACCTTTTCAGGTTGAAGATTACTTCTTCTTTCTTCAAGAATTCTCCCAGTAGTGGAAAAATTCCGCTCACAGCTTGCACTTAAAGCAGGAATTGCCAATTTTGCTAAAATTGGAAATTCGCTTTGATGAGCCGCCCACCACTCTAACAAATTATCCACCTTAAGTTTTATCTATTATTTATGTAATTATAATATTCATCATCGGGTATTGACATATTACCAGAATTACCATCGCCCCATTTGTCATAAAACGATTCAGTTTGTTTAACAACAGTCGTAATTTGACTGGTCGATGGTATTTCATTTACTTCCTGAGCCTCTTGTAATTTAATATAATCTTTTATATAGTTTTCCGTCATTTTGCGATCTGTCCCTGACTACATATGCAATTGCTTGAATTTGGGACAGAGAAAAGGAGAAATAAAATGATACTTGTGTAAAACAAATTTTTCAATTAAAAAAGGCTTTATATTAAGTAAAATCAATTTTATTTCTCCTTTTCGCTTTGAGGGGTATTACAAACTTTAAGAAGTGATATTCCTTTATTTGATTGTTTTGGTAAAATATATTCTAAAAATTTAGATATGAATTATAAAAAAATATATTATACTTGAATATTGGGGCTTATTTAAGATATTCCTTTATTTGATTGTTTTGGTAAAATATGTTGTAAAAATTTAGATATGAATTATAAAAAAATATATATTAATACTTTAAATAAATTTGCAGGAAATTAATAATTAGATCAATCTGTTGTGGGTTGTTAGGTAGTGTTAAGCATCACCCAATATTATATTAATCATAACTATAATATAATATTATAACCATTAACTCATAATGTAAAAGTTTTTATAAAAAATATTAAGGCCCGGGTTTAACAATCTTAGGCCCCGCCCGGATATATTAAAAAAAATTTTTTTAGGCCCGGCCCGACCCGGATATGTTTAAAAAAAATTTTTTTAGGCCTGGCCCGGGTATATTTAAAAAATTTAAAATTGATATATGTTAATATTTTATATAATTTAGCACATGAAAAAATTAATTGTTTCTCTAATAATAAGCTACACACTGTAGCTGCCTTGGCTCACAGTCTTTAACCAGACTATAAGATAAAGTAATTCTTAAAAAAATTCAAGAATATCTTGCTTACTATTTATAATAAACGACTGATGTCATAAGTGGAAGGGGTTAATTAGCAATCCTAAAATAAAAATTATGACCTTTAAATTATTTATTTTTTGAGACCACCTGAGTTTATTTTAAAGCATTTATTACTAGCAAGTGTTACAAGACTGAAAATGAAAATTTAGTCTTTTTTGAATCATTTTAATGAACACCCCATAATTAATAAATTAAACATAGCTTCTAAGCATCTATAAATAAATAAATATAAAGCCATTGATGTCTATATAATTAATTTTGTTTTTATTTCAATTATAAATATTATGATTAAAAATTGTACATCACAATATTAATATAATGCTAATTGAATAAAATCTTTATGATGCTAAAAGAATTAACATAATACAGTGATTCCTCATTTCATAATATCCGATGTTGATGGTGCATTGTCATTATTATCATTTAAATCCTTAATAATGTTAGATGTATTTTCTTGTATATTAGTATTAGAATGCTTTTTTGAATTTTTCTTTGCTCTAAAAGCTAAATTCAATTTTTTATTTTTATATAAAAATAATAATACCTTCTAGAGATATTTTTAAAGGGTCCAAAAACATATCAAAACTCATTTCCTCAATTGCACATAATACATCATTAGCTGTAAGAGTTTTTCTTTTTGCTTCCGTTGCATAGGAATTAGCACTAGAGTAACATAATTTATGGATTGTATTATATATTACGTTGATGAGGCATATAAAATAAAAACACTTGCTGCTTTTGAAATAGCAATTCGCGCTTCTTTTGATATTGTGACTCCATCTGGAAGCTATTTTTAAATATTAACATAAAATTAAAAAATGCAAAATATTACAGATTCTTTGATAATACGACTCACGACAGTGCTAGGTAAATTTAAATCTTCTGGTCTTTCAGCCATAGATTAATAGTTGGCGCATTTTATCGAATATAATTAATAGAATCGAAAAGTAGTGTTGTAAGTTGTAACGGCTCGATTTGAGCTGATTTTTAAAAACTCTATCCAAGAAAACATTACGAAAGCCTGAAAATTTTCCTCGTGCGAAATCTTGAGGTTTAGAAAATATTTTTCTGGCTAAAATATTGAGTTAGCCGTTTGAAATCGTCTCAAATAGAGCCATAGGCGTAGCCAGAGGGGGGCAAGGGAAACCCCCCCCCCCTTCAGAAATTAAATTTATCACCTTTTGTGAATATCATTTTAAGCTACTAAAAAATATCCCCCTTAGTCCTTTCCCCACTCTCTGACCCCCAAAAATGTATGCATATATCTGAAACAATAATTCAGAAAGAATGTAAAAGTTGATATTTTTTTACAAAACTATTCATCATAATTTATACATTTTTGAGAAAAGGCATTTATATATATATATAAAGTGAAACAAAAATGTTTTTTAAGAAATGGAATATAAGTCAAAGATAAGTCTTAAGACTGTTATAGTATTATGTTTATTATTATGTTAGTAGATTATTATTACAATAATGTCAAGGATATATTGTATTTCTATATGAAAAAGAGATAATGTCAAGGATGTAATTTAGTTTTATATGAAAAAGAGGAAAACTAGATCATTTATTTATGAATATATCGATTTTAGTTAATTTTTTTCGCGTAATAAGATAGATTTTGTTTCATTGCGTATTTTTTAATAATTTTTCTTATAAAATAATTTTTTTAATCTTTTCGAATATATATTTTTTTAAAAAGAGTCCACTAGAAATAAAAATAAAAGAGTCTACTAGAAATAAAAGTTAAGGAGTCTACAAAAAGACAAAAGTGAAATGTAGTATAATTATTAATAATGGATCCATAAAATTACTAAATAATATAACATATCAAATTTAATTTTTTATAAAGTGTGTAATTTTAATTAATTTATCTTAATAAATGTAAAATAGTGATGTACTTTGCGATCGGGTCATGATATTTTATTAATAAAAATTTCAAAATTATTTTTAAACATAAAAAAGATTAATCAAGATTTTCAAAATTATTTTATAGAAAAAATAAGTATATCAAAACTATAAAAAATTCGTCCCTTTTATAGGGAAAATAAAAGGCGCAATTATAAATTAAAATTAAATTGGCGCAAAGTGAAAAAAAGAACGTTTTTGTGGAATCGAGTTGTGTTAGTTTTATCGTACATAATTGGGGATAAAACCTACCCCCCTAAACTTCCCGAAACTCAAAATATACCTTGGGATGCAGGGTGGTCTCCCGGACCCAACGGTCTAACTCATATTTTCGGATCACCTTACTGAGGACTCCTAAAGTAAGAAATACAGTAAAGTGAGAGAAAACACAAAAGCCATATGTGTTAATCTCACTGTGTTTAACTTAAAACAAAAATTACCAAAAAAAAGAAAAACATTTTTTAACTTTCATTTTATGATACACAAAGGAGATGGATAAAAACTTTAATTAATTTTAACATAAACAAAAGAAGGGGATAAAAAACTTTTACATCTTACACATAATAAAAGAGGGGGATAAAAAAACTTTTTTATCTTTAACATAATAAAAGAGGGGGTTTAAAGAAAAACTTTTTTTTTATCTTTAACACTCCTCCCCCCCTAAATAGGCCACGGGGAGGGGGGATGATCCCGCTCTCGACTTAGCTTAAAAATTTTAGAATTATTACGAGTTCCGAAAACCGTCCCAACAAAAAAAAACACAACCAATTCCCACAATAAACAAAAATACGTAACTGAAATACTAAGAGTGACTAATAGAACGCCCTAGAAAGTATAACGGAATTATCATTATAAAACTAATTAACCCTCCTCCCCCCCTAAATAGGCAACGGGGAAAGAGGAATGATATATATTGACTGGGAAAAAAAAATAAAAATAAAAAAAAATATTTATAGTTTATAAATTGAATATTTGGGGAAAACGTTTAAATTTATGAAAAGAGGAGGAGGGAAAAAAAAGAGTAATTAATTGTTCGATTTATCGGGAAATCGTCTTTTTCGGATTTGCTTATCATAGAAGCTCTGTAATTCAAGTTTCGTTTTTCTTTGACATAACTCATTGCTAATGGTATTTTGCAGTGGTTGGCTTGCTTGGCTAGGTTGGATACATTTTGGTTGGTCTTCTGGTTTTACACGTACGTTAATAGAAATTGGAAGTTCTCTTAGAATATCGTCGGTAATATAGGGGATCTTTGAGATTAGTTTTGTAGTGTTCTTTTTTGTGAATATGTTTGATATAATTGAGGGAAAAATTTCTATTACATCCCTGCCTATAATAGGGTTGTAATCATTTTTGGTGATTACTATTGTTATGTTTGCCGATTGTTGGTTATGTATTATTTCGGTATTTATTGTGCCTACTATAGGAACCGGATGTCCTGAATACGAATTTAATTTTATGGTAGGTTTAGTTACATGAAGGTTTTTAAACTGGGCGTTATATAAATTCTCTCCTATGATGGTAATGGGTGAACCCGTATCAACCTCCATTATTATTGGAATTTTATTAATCTTTACGGAAGCTCGATAGGCTTCGGGTATGGTGTTTTCAATAATATTGTCGACGAGCAGGGATGTGGTGTTTGGAGGGGGGTCTTTTGTAGGGATAATTTCTATAGTTAAAGAATTTATCGAATGCTGATTTGAAGGATAGCTTTCAAGCTGTTCTATTGCATTTACCACATTGTTCGTTATCGCTTTCTTCGTTTCGGGTTGTAGGGCGGGTCTCATACAGTTTCGCTCTAAGTGACCTATTCGTCCACAATTGTAGCATTTGGGGGTTTGATATTGTTGCCGGTTATATGGGGGCCATTGAGAGGAATTGTTCGTGGGATATTGGTATTGTGGGGTTTGGTGATACGGGGGCACATAAGATGAATTGTTGGAGTGATTTGGGTATTGTTGTTGTTGGTTGTATTGAGTCCAATGCGATGAATTTTTGGTTGAATAATTGTCTCTATGGGTAGGTTGAGCGTTTGACTTGAATGTTAGGTGTGTATGAGTATCCTGAGGTGGGGGAATATCATAATTTCCTCCGTCTGATGTTGACCAGGATTCGATAAGCTCCTCGGTTTTTGCTATTTCCACATATTCTTGGAACTGAGTAGGGGGTAGCGATAATAACTTGCGTTTTATTACTGTTGAATAAACGCCAGACATAAATTGAGTAGCCATAAATAAATCGTGGCTCTCCTTTAAATCGCAATTGTGGGCGATTTCGACCAGGGCTTCCGCGTACTGGGTTATTGATTCGTGGAGATGTTGAATTCGATTCCTTAGTCGGTAGCGGGCTTGATTGGGTGGTTCGGCGAATTTGTCGATTGATTGATTAATTTTTAGAAACCCTTGGGTCTCTATTGACTCTGGATAGAACGTATTTTTTAATTTGGCAAATAATGTTGGTCCGCAGTAAGTTAGAAATAGTATACCTTTCTCTATATCATCGGATATATTCGTTGTTTGCAAACGAAACCGGTGTAAATAATTACACAAGGGTTCCGAAGCCGAATATTCGTTGATGTTGAGCGGTCTGAGCCCCCAGGGCGCCAATGATGTACTTTGCGATCGGGTCATGATATTTTATTAATAAAAATTTCAAAATTATTTTTAAACATAAAAAAGATTAATCAAGATTTTCAAAATTATTTTATAGAAAAAATAAGTATATCAAAACTATAAAAAATTCGTCCCTTTTATAGGGAAAATAAAAGGCGCAATTATAAATTAAAATTAAATTGGCGCAAAGTGAAAAAAAGAACGTTTTTGTGGAATCGAGTTGTGTTAGTTTTATCGTACATAATTGGGGATAAAACCTACCCCCCTAAACTTCCCGAAACTCAAAATATACCTTGGGATGCAGGGTGGTCTCCCGGACCCAACGGTCTAACTCATATTTTCGGATCACCTTACTGAGGACTCCTAAAGTAAGAAATACAGTAAAGTGAGAGAAAACACAAAAGCCATATGTGTTAATCTCACTGTGTTTAACTTAAAACAAAAATTACCAAAAAAAAGAAAAACATTTTTTAACTTTCATTTTATGATACACAAAGGAGATGGATAAAAACTTTAATTAATTTTAACATAAACAAAAGAAGGGGATAAAAAACTTTTACATCTTACACATAATAAAAGAGGGGGATAAAAAAACTTTTTTATCTTTAACATAATAAAAGAGGGGGTTTAAAGAAAACTTTTTTTTTATCTTCCCCCCCTCTTCAGAAATTAAATTTATCACCTTTTGTGAATATCATTTTAAGCTACTAAAAAATATCCCCCTTAGTCCTTTCCCCACTCTCTGACCCCCAAAAATGTATGCATATATCTGAAACAATAATTCAGAAAGAATGTAAAAGTTGATATTTTTTTACAAAACTATTCATCATAATTTATACATTTTTGAGAAAAGGCATTTATATATATATATAAAGTGAAACAAAAATGTTTTTTAAGAAATGGAATATAAGTCAAAGATAAGTCTTAAGACTGTTATAGTATTATGTTTATTATTATGTTAGTAGATTATTATTACAATAATGTCAAGGATATATTGTATTTCTATATGAAAAAGAGATAATGTCAAGGATGTAATTTAGTTTTATATGAAAAAGAGGAAAACTAGATCATTTATTTATGAATATATCGATTTTAGTTAATTTTTTTCGCGTAATAAGATAGATTTTGTTTCATTGCGTATTTTTTAATAATTTTTCTTATAAAATAATTTTTTTAATCTTTTCGAATATATATTTTTTTAAAAAGAGTCCACTAGAAATAAAAATAAAAGAGTCTACTAGAAATAAAAGTTAAGGAGTCTACAAAAAGACAAAAGTGAAATGTAGTATAATTATTAATAATGGATCCATAAAATTACTAAATAATATAACATATCAAATTTAATTTTTTATAAAGTGTGTAATTTTAATTAATTTATCTTAATAAATGTAAAATAGAATTATAAAACTATTGATAAAATTAAATAAAAAAATTAAAGCA